AAACACATTTAATCATATACATTAATTCATACTTTAAATTCACACTTTACTCCTAAAATGAAACTGAAAATTATATAAATTTCCAAAGACTATTGGTTTTCTTTATTGAATTCCAATTAAACACACAATAAATTATAATTATAACTCCTCTAATTTAATTATTTTAAAAATGTAACTTACATAACTTCTTATCATATAAATAGTTATTCTCACATCCTTCTCTACCATATCTCATATCTCATATCTTCATTATTCTCTTTGTTTTTTTTTAAGTTCTTGCATGGGGTGAAAACTCATTTAAAATATCATTGTAAGAGTTTGATTAATTATTTAGTTTAAATTTTTGTTTTCAATTTTATTTATTTTATGTATTTCTTTATGTTTTCATTGTTTTTTATATTTTTAAATGTAATACATATGTATAATAATATTTTATGGTTATTAAAAAATGAAGCTAAAGAAACCATGTTCATTATTTTACTTTGGATGTTTGTTTCTTTCTCACAAATTCATGTATATTTATTTTAATTTCAAAAGTATGTAATTTTTTAACAAAATAAACTTTTTGTTATATAATAACTAAACCAATTTGTAAGACATTCTTTTAAGAATAATGATCCTTATATTTAGTTTGTGATTCAACATGTAATAATATAAAAAGATTATAATTTTTGTTAACTTTGAATTTTATACTTGATTTCCTATATAAAAAACAATTTGATATTCAATTTTCTATCGATTATATATACTACAACGATGAAAAATATAATTAAACCTAGAGATATAGCTTAAATTAAGAGGAATATAAAAACAAATTAAAAATAAAATTATTCTTTGGGAATTTTTAAGGTTTCACTCTCTCCTTATTGGTCCATTTAGCATTTATTTTTAATTATAATATTTATTTTAAATTAAACAAAATATCTAACACATTCATATAAGTTCATACTTGAAATCAACACTTTACTACTAAAATATAACTGAAAATTATATAAAATTTCAAAGACTATTGATTTTCTTTATTGAATTTCCATTAAACACACTATAAATTATAATTATGACTTTTAAAAATGTAACTTACATCATTTCTTATCCTATAAATAGTCATTCTTACATCGTCCTCCACCATATCTGATACCCTCAATATTTTATTTGTTTTATTTTTTAATGTTCTTGCATGGGATGAAAACTCAATTAAGATGTCATTGTAAGAGTTTGATTAAATATTTGGTTTAAATTTTTATTTTCAATTTTGTTTATTTTTTGTTTATGTATTTCTTCATTTTTTCATTTTTTAATATTTTTAAATGTAATACATATATATAATAATATTTTATAGTTATAAGAAATTATTTTATTGATGAGATTCAAAAATTTTAATTTCCGACTATCGCACCATAAGATAATCAAGCTAAAGAAACCATCTTCATTCTTTTACTTTGGATGTTTGTTTCTTTCTCACATATTCATGTATATTTAATTTATTTTTAAAAGTATGTAACTTTTTAACAAAATAAACTTTTTGTTATATAATTATCAAACCAATTTGTAAGACATTCTTTTAAGAATAATGATCCTTATATTTAGGTTGTGATTCAACATGTAATAATACAAAGAACATTATAATTTGTTTTAACTTTGAATTTTATACTTGATTTCCTATCTAAAAAACAATTTGATATTCCATTTTCTATCTATTATATATACTACAAGGATGAAAAAATATAATTAAACCTAGAAATATAACTTAAATTAAGAGGAATATATAAAAAGAGATTAAAAATAAAATTATTTCTTGGGAATTTTTAAGGTTTCACTCTCTCCTTATTGGTCCATTTAGCATTTATTTTTTAATTAAAATATTTATTTATAATTAAACCAAATATCTAACACATTTAGTCATATACTTTAATTCATACTTGAAATACACACTTTACTATTAAATTGTAACTTAAATTATATAACCTTTCAATTGACTATTTGTTTCCTCCATTCAATTTCAGTTAACACACTATAAAATATAATTATTACTCCTCTAATTTAATTATTTTAGAATTATA